ACTTCGAACCATAACTGATCAGAACACTAATGGGATTTACATTCACAAATAATATAAAAAAAAAACTTTCCTAACTCATCGTGTGATAAAATGAACCAAGCTATCAAAATATTGAACGCAGATTGGTTCTGTTTTCTCGAATCGTACAGGCTCACTCAAACTCCTCGTTATCGAAAAACTGAGATTAGCCGTTTCATGTGGATCGTTGTCTATTCTCTCTGGCAATTCGAGCCTAGAATATTTTGAACCAGAGTTAAAAGTAATTATTTGTTTTGAGGTATTGGGAGTCTGTAGCATTTTCATTTAAGACTACTGACAATGTAGCTCTCAATGAGATGAAAAGATCAGAAACACTCAGTCCAAATGGAACAAGTTTAATGTTTGAGTTCCTTTTTTTTCCCTCATCAGAATTGAATGGGAAGATGTAGATAAAGGTGTTTCGGTCACTTAAGTGAAACAAATTTATGTTTTTCTGCAGATGTTTTTGCCGCTGATATGATCAAACCTTGCTTAACATTGACTGGATCAAAATAAATCAAATTGAGTTGAAAGAATTATTCACTACAAGACAACTCGCCTCATATCTACTTTCAAGGAAGTTTAGATTCATTCTCAAGGCGAAATAGATATTGTGAATTCAAAAGGCTCAATCTAATAAATTTACTTAAACAGAAACTGGTGGATGGAAATTCCATTGTTGGAGGGCAAAAGTTGTACGTAGCTGCGAGACAGCGGCGTGCAGGGAGGGCAAAAGTTGTACGTAGCTGCGAGACAAACCGGTTCCTTGTCGCAATCACACTTTTAGTCAAGGTCAAATTTTTATAGAGTGACGATATGCTTTCATTGTGCAATTTTCTAGTGTTCAGAGATACTTATGCTCAAACTCTCTTTCTGGTTAGTTTACGCCGAGCCTTAAAGCATAAAAGGATTGTATTGAGTATGTCACATAAATTTCTGAAACGCTGGCTCAAGTTTTCACGAGAGCTGGTGGGGAAAGAGTAATTTAGTATTATCAACTGAGAATTGGCCACTATAAAGAGTTTAAGAGCTGACGTTTCGAGCGTTAGCTTCTCGTCAGAAGTTACACTCTCCCACCGACGCAGCACCACTGTTTCTTTAGAAACTTACCCCCTTTATTCACTGGTGGCGAAAGGTTAAGTAACTTTTCTCTTACAGTGCACACATTACAGCCGTGTACAGCCAGACTTAATGTTCCTACCTTTTACGCAAGATCAGAGGATCAATTAAACGATCTCGCTATTCAAAACGATTTTTTCGTTCATTCCCACTTTTACCCTTCTGTAACAGCCTTATGTGGTTACTCAAACATATTTTGTTAACAATCTTCACGACTCATGCTAATCATAAATTTAGGAAGAGAACACAGTGGATTCTCAAGCCATTGGCTTTGTGCTAAAATAATTTCTTTTCAAGTCAAATCTTGAAAAGTATACTCATTCATTTTCAGCTTTTCTTTAATTTGTTTGAAGGTTATGTCCGTTTAAATAACTAAAGTTAGAAATTCTCCGCAGAATGCTATTGAAGCCAGTTGTTGTGCGTATAAAGATTATCTTCTAGGACTAAAACAGGATATAAAAGAGATTCCGTGCACGTTGTTGACTTTTTCCTCACATCAATCCATGAATCAAACCAATAAAAAAATATTTTGTCGAGATGATTCTTCTCGCTTAATCTCAAATCATTCTTTTTTAATAAAAAATACAATCGAACAATTGTGTTTCACTTGTTAGGAAAATAGCAAACAAAATGTGAGTCAAATGATTTTGAAAGCTCATCAGTATTTCTTGCGTGATGAACATTCATTTTACTGACGAGGGTGAAAATGAATTCATCTTATCCGGAAATAACACATTTTTTAGTTTGGAATGATTTAATTATAAAAGAAATGTGTTTATTTTCTCATGGCAAACTTCGCACAACCGACTTTATTTTCTGGATGCTTCTTAGAGATGATAAGGCTGCGTGAATTTTTTTCTGACTGAATCTGAGCCCCCAATTGTTTTGGTAATGTTTGCAGTTCGATTTCATCAAAATAAACATAATAACTTTGTAGTATTAAGACGTCGGTCTTAGTCGGGAGAATCTAGACTGTGGCCATTGTTATTAGTACTTCTCGTAGAGATGTGAAAAGCTGTACTTGAGGGTGAAACCCCTTTCACAAAGCCGACTTGTGTTAGATTCACACAAACGTGGTCACAGTTGCCTATTTCTCGTAAATATTTGAATTTCTTTTTTTTCGTTCGCCCCAGTCAGAGATGGCAAATGGACAAACAATTGGAAAGAAACGCGAGCTACCGATGAGGATAATCTCGGCCAGAGAGCTAATTGAATATTGAAGAAAGATCTTGAAAATTTGTCTGCCGTATGGGACACAGAAACAAGTGCGTTAGTGTCCAGTTATATTAACTTGTAGTGCGAATTTTTGATTCACGTATTCCAACATTTATTTCATGGAAATACCTCATCGAAGGCCCTTTTATTTGTAGCTTGATCAGATTTTGCTTCTTTCTTTTGTTTTTTTGCTGACTATAGCGTTCACGAAAAAGTGGTGAAGAAGTTATAGCTTTAAGAATTGGGTGTACGAGAATCAAACAAACAGGGAAATGAAAACGTTCGACCCCTATTAAAAATTTTTCTGGAATGTGGGTACCCTATGAGAACGCACAAATTTCTCTTTTTAAGGGGTGCAACACTCCTATCGCCTTAGCAACGATAAGGGGTGTTAATTCATTAATCGTAACACGTTAAAGCTTCCAGCATATTTAGAGACAACACTCTTCCTTACCTTTATGCATTCAATTTTCCCTGACAGCTGACATAAACAAAGGAATTGATAGTTCATTTAGTCACACTTTTGGCCGCTTGTGCTGTTGCGCTCCGCGCAATTCCGATCCCAGACCTTCCTTCCTGAGTAATTGAACAATCCTGAATCGTTTGGCCGTACCGTTCATCGTCACTTTTATGTTTAAATCGGCTGAATTGCACCAGACTATCTTAACATACGTTACTTTGGGTAATAGGCATGCACAACACCGCGTAGGCCCGGTCCTCTCAAACACCGCATTTCCTCGAATAAACGCCCACGCTCTGATAAGCGCCCTCCCTCGAATAATCGCCCACCCCCTCAGCCATAATATGAAACATATACCCCCTCCCCCCTCACTTTGTTAAGAAGCAAGGATACAAGAAAACACCTGTTTCTATTGCTACTTTATTTATAAATTTTTAAGCTTCAGTAACGGTCACTAATTTCTTAATAAGCACCTCTCTCGATCAAGCGCCCTCCTTCCAAAAAGCGCCCCTCCTTTTGGCCGAAATCTAAATAAGTGCTCGGGAACTATTAGACAATTCTTCAGCGTCTGCCTTTCTAGTAAATTCCCAAGCGATTGCAGTCAGCAGCAAAAAAATTTAAATCTATACGCCTTGATAGGCATGCTCTAATCTGAAGGAAAAGCTTTAAAGCCTTAAGAACACTTATTATTATCTTCAACGATAAATCTCAACTAGAGACCTACACTCATCGTCGCGATCATGATTCATTTTATTGTGTAAAAGACTAAGGAATAAAACTATGATTTCACTCACCTGCTCTATAGAACACGAGTCCAACCCTTGATTTTTTGAGTCCATAAATTTTCAGATGATTCGAACAATCTCGAGAAATAATAATGCCTCGTCAGTGCAGAACAGAGTTGCAAATCTTCACTGTGGCACCAGTTTTTTTTACATGCAGTACTACCGCTGACAGTTTGCAGATTATGCTCTTCAGATTGTTTGTTTACGGACAACCCTGTATGATTTTCTAAAGAATGGTCCCATGGAGAGAAATGTGATACTTCAAAATGTTCAGTAATCTGCTGAACTATCGAAATAAGGTTGTAGTCATCTTCTTAGGGGTGACCGATGGAAATGTCGTGGAGAAAATCAGCGAAACGCTATCAAGGTATGGTAAATGTCTAGAAGTGATCACGATCAAATTCACCTCAGCTTGCTGTAATTCAGGCGACTTAAACGTTTTGCAAAGAAGACTTAATTGACTCGGTGTATTGCTTGAGGATTGATGATTGCTCATATACTCGAATAGGTTGGTCTGGGAATCGGGATTTTGGTGGAAAGAGAATGATTTTAGGTAGAAGTAACAACTTAACGTTGTGTAGTCTTCCATTCAAGCTGATTTATTTCACCTAAGAAACAACAGGTTGAAAGCGCTATAGCTCTTTTTCATGATGCTCATAAGATAGCGTTTTTTGAAACTCACGTACATTTTATTTATCTCAGACTCTTTTCACTGAAGCTGAAAATGTAAACGTCACCAAAATATGCAATAATTGATTTTGTTGTTTGAACGTTAATTGCCGTGTTAAAAAATTAGCAACTGCCCCGCAGAGATTTAATCATACATAGCACATTGGCACTTAATAGGTCCAGAATCGGTGAACTTTTTAAGAAAATCGGAGGGTGGTTTTTCCTGTTTCCCCACTACAGCCAAAATAATCGAAACTGTTCAGAAACAGATCAGTAACCACCGAAGTTATATAACTGATATCATTAGAGTGAAGAGGAACGATGTCGCACGTGAGAAGTTTATAAATGCTTTAATGAAATTGAGATAGATACATTACATTGTACTTTTTTTTAGCCAATTTTGTGTTTAAAAATGAGGCCTTTCGTCATAAACAAGGAAAACTGGCTAACTATAATTGTATATATTTTCCAACAACTGGCTTTTGGGTCTTCCATATCCCAACTATCTTAAAACCCACATTTACTGAGCTACTTTTTTTAAACTTTTTTTCCCTTAATCAAAAGCGCATGAAAATGTAGACAAACAGCGGTTGGCTAAAATGCTACACTTATCACTATATAGAGTGTCATATTTAACCCTTCAGCTCCCATGAGTGACCAAGACAGAATTTCTCCTTACAATATCAATACAATATCAACCGCACAAGTGATGAGAATAAAGAAAAATATCAATGAGGGGATTATAAGTTGATCCAATACCAAATTCTCCAAACAATCATCACAATAACTGTATGGCAGACAGTAAGGAGAATTACTAATGAGATCTTGGGAGTTAAAGTGTTACAGCGAAAAAATGCTTACGAAAATTTCTTACTCGGAATGAAATGCATGTTTAATTAACTAAAAAGCGATAAAAAAGCTTGACAACGTTTAAAAAAACAAGTTAACGAGTATTTCTTTTTTAATCCACTTACTGATTTTGCATGCAAGGTTAATTTTTTTTCGGCAAAAATTGATTAAGACACGTGATACAGGGGAGCTATTGCAGTGCTTGTAAGGGAGCAGCACATTGACTTAACCTTTTACGCCCCAACATCAGAATGCATATTCTCCACACTGTTCTTTATACATTTCCTAAGGTGCTGACAGAGAGAATTTGTTTGCCAATCAGAAGGATCTTTCCCTAGTGACCATTTCCTTTACTCTCATGACCTTAATGTGTGATTCAGGGGTCAGATATTGTAGGAAGAAATTAGATGCTAATCACTCTTAGGATTTAAAGGATTAAGAACAACTTAATATCACCTTAGAGAACCCGCTAGTAAGCAAGATACTTTATCGTCCCACTTTCGGCAGAATTTGTGAATTCATTCAAGGGAAAATAATGCGACCAACATTTTCTTGATCAATTTTCCTCGGGTGAGACACTTATGTGTTTATTATACAGTTCTCGAGAGATTATTCTCTGGACAGTTCTTCTCTTAAAAGTGGTTGTATTTTTAGCAACTTAACATATGGCAGACTTTGCGTCTCACTGAGCTTTACAACGTTCTTTACGTTTTGCAAGTCCTCTTAACGTTCAATGATAACCATACTTTACTTGGGTTCATTGGAGTTTAGATATAAGCCACGCCCTAAATCTGAACAATATGAAGAGGAACAAATGCACCATTGTTTGCGTTACAATTAACAAGAAGAACACCATAAAAATGGCACGACCTGGTTCTTTTTCGTAATCAATGATCTGGTATATGTAATTCAGGCCTTCCTTATTCTTTCCCCCAGCGCCCCAGTAAATCACGCTGAAAAGCACGTAGATCGAAGAAAACGCATGAGGATAGAAAAAATGCAGCAGACGGATGGGAATATTACTAAATACGACTTCTATCAGCATAAAAACGGCAGCTAAAATATGTTCGTTTATGTTCAAACCATCGATTGCTCCACCTTTTACAGGGTACAGCGTTGACCAATAGAAAATGGTGATTACCAGCGAAGTAACACTTCCTATGTCGAAAAGTACCCACAATACCTTCTGTGGCCAGCTCAGCCCGTCTTCATCATCTTCTTTAGTGGCATAGGATGTCCCTTCGTCTTCGGTCTCGTTTTCATCTTCGGAAGACAATCCCACGATGTAGGTTTCCGACTTGAAACGGCGAGGTCCGTAGCCAGCCGGGTCATCTTCGACTCCAGATCCGCAGCAATAGTGGGTAGTAATGAACATGGCAAGCAGAAAGTAAGCGGTTACAAAGGTAAGGACCCAGTTACTAAGGAAAATGAACCAGTAGTTACCATCGCTAAAGCCACTGTAGATCAACCATGACAGAAAGTAGAAGGCGGCGATGAGGCGGTAAATGAGGAACAAAGGAAGGGGTAGCCACTGTTGAGACAAAATACTGCCAGTCAGTCGATACCGAGAGCAAAGATAATCTTCTTACATCACCCTCCCAATCTGTAACATACAATTTATAAATCCGCCGGGAACTGATTTACCGCAGATTGAGAATCCACAGACTAACCAAACCTTGTAAAAACTGTTTTTAGATTTAAGAAAAATTCGACTACATACTTTTAGTCAGTAACCTGGCCTCTTACTCTGACTTGTCAGTCTCTCTCCTCTCTTTCCCATCCCTGTAGTACCTTTCCTTAAAACAAACTGCATGCTACACAGGCAGGCATGCCTCCCTTGTATAATGACCGCGCGTTGTAGTTTTGCGTAGAAGGCAGGTGCACTGATTTATTTAAATATAACGGCGTCCATGGTCAAATTTTTCAGTTGCCCATTTGAAAACAATATCGAGCTGTTAGATTACACATTGAGACTCAAAACCGTGGTGAGAAGCAAATTTTCGTTCAAAATTTTTAAAGGGGAGATGAAAATTATGAAAATGGTTTTTGAAGCATACGTATATTCTTTACACATCCTGGGTGAAAAGTTCGCCTGGGAAAGGCACTTGGTTGAAAGAGAATGTGAATTGTTGGTCGACAGTTAGTGTTGGGTCGTGTTATTAAGATGTACTGGATCATTAACGTATGTTTCTGAACTGTATTTCCACTGGGTTCTATGTGATTGCGCGCACGGGTCCTTACGAGTCATGGATACTTATACTTCGCTCACAATTCGAAGGAAAGGTCGTTGGTTTTCCATGCTAGAAAAAATTACGATATTAATTTTTTTATCGTAGGATTTTAGAACATACAGGTTCTAAACGACCAGCACAATCACTTGCGCTATCTTCGATTTTAGGGGCCACATGTACTTGGCACGAAACACACGTTTTGCACCGTTGAGTGATTGCAATTTCTGCGCGGGCTATACCAATACAATCTGAAACTACTGGAGCCCGATATTTTTTTTCGCGAGTAAAGCGAGGTTTTTGTTATGAAAACAATCGTATGTCAATACTGTTTCACGACCGAAGTCATTTATGAACGAAAATTTTTATAGTGCTTCTCAGCATCATTTACCTTCTCTTGTTATTGTCTTAGGAGTAATTTTAAAATTTCTAATTTGATGAAATAGAAATATAAGCAGAACTAATAAACGGTTATGAATAATTATAACAATCTTCTGTGGTGTGTTTCAAATACATTTGTTAAACAATCAGAAAGTCTTGTTCGCTCTTAATCTCATTAAACTGCATATGGTGAACGTACCTTATAAGAGCAATGAGTATCTGATTCATGAAGTCTACCAAGTGTGATAATTTAAAACAGTTTTCGGCTGTGCAAGTTGTTAGCGTTGCATAAAATATTTTAGTCAATATTTGTTTATTTTACAGATAATTGCGAATTAGTGGGAGCTCAAAGAGGCTCCATTCCCATGATGTAACTCTCCTGAAGTCCTGCGGGACTCCATGAAACTTCTGCTGCTGTGTAACTTTTTTAAAGTTGAAAGATAATTACGCTGTTGGCTATGGAACCTTAAGTTCGTGCGCGGAAACCGTGTTTGAATAATTAGATCAAGTAGCATCATTTAAGCGAATGAAAATCATACAAGGTAATTTTTTAAAAAGGTAAAGATTTTAACCGATTTTGTTCGTAATGTAATCTTTTGATACCGTCAGTTTTATGAACACGAAGTTTTAATGGACTTAACATACCTGTTATCGCAGTATTTCTAGAAAGTATTTGACTATATTGATAACTCACTGAAATCCCTTGAAGGGCGACCGTCGAAGCGCGCCACTTCATAATTATTACTCTTCCCATGAACAGTAAACGTTGATCCAAAGATTTTGGCGCCATTACAGAACCACAACGATCTTTTACTTTTCTTGAAATGGGGGTCTCTCACCAATTTTAAGAGAATGCATTTGTTACAAATGTCAGTTTCATAAATGGCTTGACAAAATTCGTGATCCAGTAACTCACGTCTTATTTATGCCTTCTAGATAATGTATTCACTGGCAGATAAAGGCTTGATTTACAAAGAATTCAGTGCTCTTTGCCATTTACAAGGACTTTCATTCATTGTGGGAAGAAAACTAAACTTCTCTTCATTTTCGGAAATTCTTTAAACAATCTTTGATAAACACGCTCCGTGCAAGGAACAAATGAAAGACCCTACAGTAATCTGTCTCTGATCAGATCGTGAATCTAAAAGGGAAATGTTCCTTGCCTTAAAAAGTCGAGGTACTCACCGGCGATGTCGCAAACGCACTTGCATAAGGATGACTCAATTTGAGACGACGGAAAGCAAATTCCTCTGGGCAAAGGCACATGTTGAAACGCTCGAAGTTGCGTTCACATCTCCATGAAATAAAACGAAGTGACGCTTGAATACCGACTGACCTTCTGGAACTTGCAAATTTTGGGCCCTCGGTCCGCAGTGATGCATGTCTAACGCGTCCCTCGGGAAACCAAGGTTTCATATAATTTTGATTCATGAAAGGCCTTTAAATACTTCCAGTGGTATTTATTTTGGTGCAATGTAAAGGAAATTGTCTGTGAAAAGTCAAATGATTACAGTTATGTCATTCTTATGTAAGAATGATTCACTATCTTCAAAAATATTTATCACCGGGAAACGATTAGTATTCATGACTTTATAGACACCAAAACAATACAACTCAAGATGGGTCTACAAAACACTTTTGAATCCATTATTCCCTTAAGTTACGTAAAGGGGGACTGTGAGTGTAGCATTA